AACTTAGGAATTCCAACTGTAAACCGTTAGTCTCGCTTCTGGCCTTTTTGGAACACTCACTTTTTCAGATCCCTCTGCACAAGCGCCAGGCATTTCTGGACACCAAGTGACTAGTACGGATGGCTTGTGTGCTATTCCTGCAAATGATACCGGCGAGATGTCCTTATCGTATGGTGCTAGTCGTGCTTCCACCTTGGGAGCACTTGCGAAACAAACACGCGAGAGCGCCGATTCTCAACGCTTTGTATGTCGATGCAAGCGGGCCCAAGAGTGTGGAACCTGAACAAGTGGTATGTGTTCATATTCAAACACACACAAGTCTCACTATTGTTTTAAAGATCCGTCCTGATGACGACCCTCTGCACACTCCCAATGACTAACATACACTTCCCCCCGACAACGAACCTCTGCACACTCCAACAACAAACTTTGAGGACTATCGCTGAGGATTATCGCGACTATGGGACGGACTATTGAGAATTTTAGCATATGGCCGCACTTTGTAACTTTGAGGACTTACTGGAGTCACCAGACTTTGACGACTTTAAGCACGTAGTTGTACCTTCACTTAATATGAGGGAATATACCTACTATTATTGGACTTCCAAGACCGAACTTTGAGGACTTGCCACCCACGACTTTGAGGACACTTTGAGGACTTACCACGAGACTTTGAGAAATTACAACGACTTTAAGGACACTTTGAGGAATTACCACGACTTTAAGGACACTATGAGGACTTACCACGACTTCAAGGACGCTTTGAGGAATTACCACGACTATGAGGACACTTTGAATACTATGACGACTTCAAAGACACTTTGAGGACTTACCACGACTTCAAGGACGCTTTGAGGATTTACCACGACTTTAAGGACTTACTAGACTTACTTGACTTTGGCGATTTTAACCACATAGTCGTACTTTCACTTGATATGACTCTGAGCACAATTTTTGGACTATACCTAATATTAATGGACTTCCAAGACCGATGACTATATTCACACTGATTATTTACCAAGTGTCTGACCGCTCTGAATGTATTATGACTTTGAGGACACGGTCACACTTCCAAGACTCACCACATTCACACTTTCCTTACTAAGCTTATGAAGATCAACTTCTCCTGTAAAACACATCCTTCAAATCGATGATATTGTCAAAAGTCCACTGTTGGTTGAAGCCAACAATTGTGCAAGTGTCTCCTTACCTAATGCGTGTGGCCGATTCAAATCCATTTATTTGACCCCGCCGCTCGTCCTTCTTTCCTCTTAACTTCTTTCGCCCCATCTTGAATTTGCAAAGCTCGTAACATTACGAGCTAATAGCATATCATAACCAACCCCACGCTTAGTTTTATCTTAAATAAGTGAATTCCTCGTTGATATACAATGCCACAGCACGACCAACCGGACAAGAAGCCAAGGCTTCAGCACGCCGATCTTTCCGAATCTAATCTTACCGAACAGGAAAAGCAACGCGAACGTCAAAGACGATGGCTCGCCAACGAGAAGCGCGATCCTGCTCGGGCGCAAGAGATCAAGGAAAGGAACGCGGCCAACAAACGTGCATGGAGAAAGCGAAAGAAGGAGGAAAAGGAGAAGGCCGACCAAACAGGCAACGCAGGCCCCGCCGAAGGACAAGGTCCTGCGAAGAAACAGCGTGTTTCCTCTCCCGAAACACATGCTGAGGCGGGACCGTCCAACTCAGCCCCAGACGATATCCCTATCGACCCAATCCTCCTCAACCAGGAGGAAACCCTTCCTCAGGCGGGACCTTCTAACTCAGGCCCGGACCATATCCCTATCGACCCACTTCTCCTCAACCAGGAGATTGCCGCGCCTACTCCCACTCTCCCTCTAATGCGCGATGCTGAGGTGATGACGGATGCGCCGGAACATTTCGTCAATCTGCCTGTCGAAATCATCCCTGTACCTTCTTCGCCTACCTTCTCTACCCTTACCAATCTCGACTCTCGCGACCGGGCGACTCCCATTATCGGCACTCAAGTACACGAAAAATCAGACACCATCGACTGGTCTGATGGATCCACGACGGTACTACCGTGCATCATGAGGGATGGCGTCAATATATGCCAAGAAGACGCCGACACAGTGGCTTTCTTTGCTTCTCTCCCGGAATCGCTTCCAGAGACCTCTAAAAACGTCGTGCATTTACATTACAAGGACTGGCGCACAAAGAGCCGACAGTTGTGCGACGAGATCTCTGCGGCGATTCGGGTAAACAAAGCCGTCGTCATTCGGAACATAAGCACACCCGAACCTGCAACGTTGGATCTAGACTACCTCGAAGATCGCGGGATGTCAGACTTAATGCACGTCGTCATACATGGTATGATTATTTTAATTTTGTATACTCATCACACGATCTAACCTTGTTACAACAGACGCTGAACAACGTACCAAGGATTTCACGTTTCCCCACCAGCATGCAACTCTCGAAGAGTTCGTGAACAACATACACGATCCTAACAAGATCCAGTGTATTCTAGACGTTGGATACGGACAAGGTGGTCTCCCGTCAGCTCTAAGGTTCGTACCCATATCATTATTCTAATCCATCACACTACTAAGTTAGCTGACCCGTCCATTATTAGCACTCTCGACAGCGGTATCGTCAACGGATGGAATCAAACTACCGTTGACTGCCCCGTCGGTGAAAAGGTCCACCCGGATAACTTCACCGTACACTCGTGGGCGTTGATTCATAGCCCCGCGTTTTGGACACATCCGCACCACGACTCGGATGGTAGCCTGACATTCGTGCAAGTCGAAACAGGCGAAAAAAAATGGGGCCTGTGGCGACACGTTCACGAGGACATGCTCACACGGACCCACCTCTCCGAAATAGCCCCCGAACTCACGGATCTCTATCAAAACCGCAAGAAAATACAGGAGACTTGGCACGGAGAAATTGTCACTCTCTTACCCGGTGACATGCTGTGAGTACATTGTTATTTTATAAGGATTTTTACTCATAATTACTAGTATACAACCTCCAGGCCAATTCCACGCGGTTTATACACCAGTAACTTCGTTTGCCACCGGAGGGCATTTCTACAACTACGAAACCATGCATCTAACGGAACTTTCTCGATACATAGACCACAAGCAAGGAAGGACCCTCACTAACCAAGTCCACGAGCATTCTCTGGAAACTTTTCAGCGAATGGTCATTAACTTACCGCGCATATCGCGTCGTATTAGTGAGTCTATTTCTACTTGTACAACGTTGGACACTTTTGACATAATTTTTCAGAGCTATACAGCAGGCCTTTGATTGCTCTTTGCATCATGGTCTTCGATTGCAACAAATATGTTGCCGCCGGCACTGAAAAGCCGAAGTTCAAGACGAACACCACAAAGCCGGCGCATGATATCGCCAACGCGATCATAAAGAACTTCTGGAAGGACCTCAAGAACGCAACTAGCGTGTATCGCAAGAAGCAGATACATGGCAGCAATAGCCAGACGCATCCGGGTGAACCCATTAGTAGAGATGAACTGCTGAATTGCTTGAAGCGCTTCACTGCGCTGTAGTGTAGTTACTATATATTTACTTAAAATTGGATTTGACATGCTGTATGAATAGACTGTACAATACATTCTTATTAGGTGGGATGTGCAGGTATGACCGAGAAGTTAAACAATCGTGAATGTAACGCTATATTATAACTCTTCAATTATTTTGCGAGTCACATTTGTGTTTGATACATCATGGGAATTTATCTTGATCCTATTAGTAAATCTATAAGTTATGTTGGACGAAGAAATAGATGGAGCCGAAGTGAAATAATCGATACTGTCCGCACAGTGTCCTCAAAGTGTCCTCAAAGTGTCCGCAAAGTTTATAGTCACCCAAGTGTCTTCAAAGTGTCCTCAAAGTAGCATAGTCATCAAAGTGTCCGCAAAGTCGTATAGTCCGCAAAGTGTCCGCAGTGTCCTCAAAGTAGTATAGTCCGCAAAGTGCCGGCAAAGTGTCGGCAAAGTGTACTCAAAGTAGCATAGTCATCAAAGTGTCCGCAAAGTCGTATAGTCACCAAAGTATCAGTGAAGTGTCCGCGAAGTGTAGGCAAAGTGTCCTCAAAGTAGCACAGTCATCAGTGTCCGCAAAGTCGTATAAGTACTCACCAAAGTGTCCGCAAAGTTTCCACTGTAGTAATATCCAGATGCATCTGGGGCAGCCTATCAGCAGAGAAGAACTACTGACTTGTTCGAAGCGCTTCACCACTCTGTAGTATTTTTTACTAGATATATTACATATATTGGATTTTTCATGCTGTATAAATGCATGAATACCAACTACGGAATTGTCCAATATATTTTTAGTCGTGATACTCGTCAAATTCTAGTTAAACAAGTGTGAATGCAGCGCCAGATTATAAAGGTTCAACGTTTTTGCGAGTCACACTCGTATTATTACGCATTTGAATTGATTAGGATTCTACTAATAAATCTGTGATTTAAGTGTGCACGAAGAAATACATAGAGCTGAAGTGAAATAATTGATACTCAAAATGAGTCCTCAAAGTCAAACCGGGTCATCAAAGTGTCCTCCAAGTTCAACGACGTCCTCAAAGTCAAACCGGGTCCTCAAAGTCAAGGTACGTCTTCAAAGTCTCACGACGTCCTCAAATCGTTGTTTGAATCTATGAAAAATCCAGACAAGATACAATTGCACTATGATAATTCAGTGCACATTGTATAAATTTACGATAGTCTTGTCACGTGAACATTATCACGTGAAAATTATCACGTGATGGTTCAAAATGTGGTTCAATTTCAACTTCCGCTTCATACGTTCTCTTCCCATTCTACTTCCTTTGTTACACATCTTCTCACATCACATTGTCGTAGCTCCTAACGGGGGCTAAGAGCCGTCGCTCTGACACCATGTGAGAAGTGACATTCGTGTCTAGCGCCTTTATGGGCGCATATGGCTGTCGTCGACAGTCGCATGACGTGTCTGTTCTGTTTGCGTCACTCTTGCACGCGTCCCATCTCCTCGCCGTAGCTCCTTACGGGAGTTTTGAGCTGTCGCTCTGGCATGGCATGATGGGCGACTCTCGCACTTAGCGCCTTTATGGGTGCCTGGCTGTCGTCGACGGTCGTGCGATGAATCTGTTCGGTTCGTATCACTATTCGACGCATCACCTCTCCTTGCTGTGTCTGTCCCATTCGCGTCACTCTTGCACGCATCCCATCTCCTTTCTTTTCCTGTCCTGTTCGCGTCACTCTTACACGCGTCCCATCTTTTTGCCGTAGCTCCTTACGGGAGTTTTGAGCTGTCGCTCTGGCATGGCATGTTGGGCGACTCTCGCACTTAGCGCCTGTATGGGTGCCTGGCTGTCGTCGACGGTCGTGCGATGAATCTGTTCGGTTCGTATCACTATTCGACGCATCACCTCTCCTTGCTGTGTCTGTCCCATTCGCGTCACTCTTGCACGCATCCCATCTCCTTTCTTTTCCTGTCCTGTTCGCGTCACTCTTACACGCGTCCCATCTCCTTGCCGTAGCTCCTTACGGGAGTTTTGAGCTGTCGCTCTGGCATGGCATGTTGGGCGACTCTCGCACTTAGCGCCTGTATGGGTGCCTGACTGTCGTCGACGGTCGCGCGATTAGTCTGTTCTGTTTATATCACTATTCGACCCATCAGCACATCTCCTTGCTGTGTCTGCCACGTTCGCGTCACTCTTTCACGCGTCCAATCTCCTTGCTGTTTCTGTCCTGTTCGCGTCGCTCTTGCACGCGTCCAATCTCCTAGCTGTTTCTGTCCTGTTCGCGTAACTCTTGCACGCGTCCCATCTCCGTGCCGTAGTTCCTTACGTGGGTTTTGAGCTGTCGCTCTGGCATCGCACGATGGGTGACTCTCGCGCTTAGCGCCTTTATAGGCGTCTGGCTGTCGTCGACGGTCGCGCGATGTGTCTGTGCTGTTTGTATCAATATCTACTATATCTTCTTCAACATGTTATCAAAGCAATTGTAAGTAGTCTTGAAAATATTCCTGCGGACGCCTAGCAGAATTGAGTTATCACTCTGGAGATGAGCATTTCAACAAACACAATTAAGTGATCTGAGAGGACAGGGGAAGAATTGAACGTATGATTGTGTATCTATATCCCATGACAGAGCTGTTCCATGAATTCGAAAATAAACTTCCTCAAGTAGTTACAAGACAATGAACCGACTTTGGTGAATTGTAGACTCACCCACGATACACCTCATACATTCATTAAACATAGTATTTATAAGCAATGAAGCAGTTGATTCACCATATGTACATGGAATACTGATTGATATGTGGAGACATGCACCATCAACATAGTCACCACCTGTGATGTTCTGGCATATGGCCGCCACTATTACACATTACTGTGACTTCCTCGAGGTTTCACAAATATTCACGTATTTATCACACAAATTGCTTGATGCTTGGAAAAAATCATTTGTTGTATGTGGATATTGGAGTGCTAATGCATTTGTGCTCACAATGGCGGCCAAGCTAACAAGTAAAATAATGAATATCCACATGTTGCACAATGTACATGATTGTGAACGTGACTGCTCAAATTTGTGGGTGGCATAATGCACAATACTGATTCTGGACTGGCTCCTGTGGATATTTGTGCGTGGGAGAATACAATAGAGGGATTTCGGAATGGCCATGGTGGATATTTATTACTCTCGAGCATTATTAAAACAATCTCGCAAATTATTAATATATCATTCCCGGTCCAAACCAACAACAGGTACATGTATAATTAAGCTCTGATATTCAAGTGTTAGTTAGGTTATGGGGGTTCCTAGGGTCAGCCTAGGGTCGATTTCAGCTTCAGTTTCAAAAAATCTCATGTATCAGATATGGCCTTCTAGGACTCCCACTGTATATGGACCCCTTCAGTTCAATTTGCCAGATATCCCCCATGCATCAGATGTGGGAGTCCTGGACTCCCACTGTGCGTGGACCCCTCCACCCTTCATTAGTTGGACACTGCTCAGACATAGTGGGAGTCATTGACTGTCACTGCATATGGCCTTCCAGGACTCCCACTGTCTCTCAAGGGGAGACCACTGTGAATGGACCACAACACATTGAGGACATCATGCAAAGCACCACCTTGCATGTGAGCAAAAAGCCCCCACACAGTGGGAGTCCTGGAAGGCCACTGTTGATGTGTCATGAGATGATCAGTACACATTGGCAAATATCTTTGGGCTGGTGGTTAGTCAATCAGTTACCAGTTGGTCAGTTTGGCAGTGGCCTTCCAAGACTCCCATTGTGTAAGGACATTGTTCATCACACCCTCATTCCATAGTGTCCATGAGTGTGGCCTTCCAGGACTCCCACTGTTTGGGGGGCATTATTTATCACACACTCATCCCCATAGTGTACATGAGCATGTTCCATTACATAACATAACATAACATAAACATACCCTAACATAACATACACAGCCCAATAGTCTACATGAGTGTGGCCTTCTTAGAAGGCCATGTGGATGGACCACAAAATGAGGACATGATGGCAATCCCCCCACACACAGTGGGAGTCCTGGAAGGCCACACTCATGGACACTATGGAATGAGGGTGTGATGAACAATGTCCTTACACAATGGGAGTCTTGGAAGGCCACTGCCAAACTGACCAACTGGTAACTGATTGACTAACCACCAGCCCAAAGATATTTGCCAATGTGTACTGATCATCTCATGACACATCAACAGTGGCCTTCCAGGACTCCCACTGTGTGGGGGCTTTTTGCTCACATGCAACATCATCCAGCTTCATCTATCAGACGGCGTAATGGTCTGGGCCGAGCGTTACTTGGTTTGAACACTGACAAGATTGCCGCTCACCCATGTGCTGATGAAATCAAACTGCGGCTGACCACACAGCCAGCCCAATCACTGGTGAGACAGTGCTACTATGAGAGGACACTGAGGTGCTGGGAAGCAATCTGTTCGAAGGTGCGTATGTACATTTCGTAGGCCAACGACCGCCAACGCCCAGCTAGGCGCACTATTTTGGGGTCTACTTTCAGCACACACTGCTTCACCATGGGGTGGATATCACCTAGTTTGTCTCACCACGAGAACAAAGGGTCATTTTGAAGGGCCGGTACTAGGTGAGAATTAGTTCTGTCGTATAGGTGGTGGCTGAATAGGTACTGAGTTGGATGACCCGGTAGGTGCATTGGATAGCTGTCCAGACTGCACAGGCAGACCTGCTTGTGGTGCCGGGTTGGTGGAAGAACACTAGGTGCCGGGTTATTGGTGGGAGGTATGTTCGAGCAGGCAGATGCAGGTCCCGGCCTCTGAGTTGAAGGAGGCGATGGCAGAAGGTTTGATTGTGTAGGCCTACTAGCAGCGGTTCCTTGGCTGCTCTGTGTAGTGGTGCTGGAGAGGGTTGCTTGAGAACTGCCGCTCCCTGGGAGATTCAGGCCTAAGTGCTGGTGTGTTATTGAAGAAGGAATTAGAATTGAATTATTCAAAAATCAAAAAATACGAGAACGAGCAAGTATATCTGTGTAGGTACGAGTGAGTAGAATGTGTGGAACAGAGAAGAGAACAATGAGGAAAGGAGCACTCTGGAACCAGCACCTTTCACATGGCATTTAACCACAGTTTGACAAAGATTTAGCTAGCTTTATTTAATGTATAATATTAATAATATATATCATAATTGTAGAACATATGATAAAGGAATAAATAGTTACACTACGTGGGTAGGATCTGCCAAAGCTGTAATATTGACAAGCTTATGATACTGACTTAGGATCTACTAGCATACTGGTGTGTTGTTATCATATCCTATCAAGTTGCTGATTTACTGCTGAGCATGTCTGGCTTTGGATAGTCGGCTTCCAATGGCAGATTCTGCCATCAATGACAATGTGCTATGTTATGTTCTGATATCAAATTATCATGGTCTGCCAAGTTGCTGATTTACTGCCAAGCATGTCTGGCTTTGGATAGTCAGCTTTTTATGGCAGAGTCTGCCTTCGAAGACAATGTGCCAGGGACTGGTATCAAATTATTTTACCTTATCAAGCTGCTCACCCTTAACCAAATATACCTGCTATTACATGGGCAGCTCCTGATGGTGGAAGCCACCATCTAGGTTAAGATCTCACACTCAATTACATCACCACAGCAGTTAGTATATTTTGTTTGCAATAGTCCACGTCAATTGCATTAGGAGACAGTACAGCTACAAAATAATGAATTAATTAACATCAGCAGCAGCTAGTTCTTGCAAGGCAGCACATTTTTCCCAAATCTTCGACAGTGCACTGTCTTTGCTGATAGGGTGCTGTGAAGAAGAAGAATTAGGAAAAATGCGACTACATAAAGTAAGTTAGATAGCTTCAAGTTGATGAGATGGATCATGAACCGTGTCCACCACATCATGAGGTCAGCCACCTCCTCACTCTCATCAGGATCCTCCAGCAAGTCAAGAATGCTATGGTAGAAATGTTCAGAGTTGGTGACTGTGTCTGTGCGTGAAAATACAGATGACGAGCTCAATGAAAATCAAGCCTAAAGGAATAATCAGCAGGCTACCATGTACAATCAAATTTACATGCTTGTGTAGCAATATATGCCAGGGATCCTCGAGTCACAGATTTCATACCATAAAGGGAAGCATTGCTGGAGTGCATAGCCTTGGGCTTCTTGTCCACTGAACTCGGAGATGTAAAGACATGTTTGAAACCCTGAAAATAACTTAAATTTAAAACTTCAGCCTACGGTAAGAACTGAACCTATTATTAGGTTCAGCGTTCGGCTGATGCCTCGGATTTGTGAACCCGTCTGGACCCGTTCGAACGCGTTCGAACGGTTCTTTCCTTCTGTCTATGATCCGCTTGAGGTCCTCAGCTTATTGCTATCCATCTATCCTAATATTTTTTCTGATCACCTGGCAACAAACTCATATGGCCATTGGCAGTTCTGGGAGCATTGATCTCCAGAACGGCTCTTACTTCACGACCAAAAGACTGAATGCATTTCTGTTAGTGACGTCTAACTTCCTTGCTGTCAAAACTCGTGTCGCAAATGACACCGCAAATCGAAGACCTCACCAGGAGCTCGACGAGTACCTTGCTGCCCCATTAGAAGATGTTGAGAATATAGTGGCGTGGTGGGGCGTGAGTTTTTTCGCATCGTGTTTCCTTGCAAGTTGACTTAAAATGCCTTTAGCACCATTCCATTCAATATCCCACCATCTCTCGCATTGCAAAGGATTACCTCGCTATTCAAGGCTCTGCCGTCGCATCTGAACGAGCATTTTCGAGTGGCGGCATCACTGGGACCACGCGCCGTAATCGGTTGTTGCCAACAACATTTGAGGCCCTACAGCTGTTGAAAAGTGGGTACCGTCAAGGCCATATTTCCGCAACGGTTCAAGCTGAGTTTGCTGCTGCTCACGAACACTCTGCCATGGACGAAATTTAGCTACTCATTTACTGTTCATGTATTTCTTGCAATTTTTGTCAATTTATATGTAGCGTTTGAGTGTTTGAACGCGTTCTGAACTCGAACCGAACGCTTGTGAACGTGTTCATCAGCGTCTGGTCCAGCATTCGTCCTCCTTGCCTGAACGCGACCGATGGTTCAGTTCGGTGTTCGCATTTAGAGGCCTAAGAACCGAACCGAACCGGACTTCGGCACCACTAGAATGCAGAACAGCGTGGGACTTCATAACAAGGTCGTGCCCTACGGCAATGGAGACCGACATAGGACGACAGCATACTCCCGTTATACATCTTGGATACCTTCGTTTTTTGTCATGTTAGTTTAGAATTAAAATATCATTTAAGACCTTCCTGTGGGGGGTGCCTTTGGCACTTGTCAACATATGTAGAGGAGCATTACATTTTGTGACAGAAATCTAATATGGTGTCATCGCAGCAGGCAAGGTTCAACAGCATACTCGTCTCAATTTCATGGATCGCTCTGATTTTGCCCGATTTATATTTCGATTTAAGATGCTATTCAAGACCTTTTCATATGAAGTACCCTTTGGGACCAGTCAACAAACCCAGTATAGCATTAGACTCAGCAACAAAATTGTGAATGCCATCATTGTAGCAAGTCAGCACAACCTTTTGGACTTGGTCCAGAAAGTCAGGCTAATGGACACTCTGGGGTACCTCTGTCACGGACTCTGGTGGTTTTGTATGGGTCCACTCTGGGGGTAACTCTGGGGGCATGTCAGCCGCTCGGCTCAATTTAGTCGGAGTTGAATTATGTCTGCGGTTCTCACTGGCTTGCTGTACCTTCCCAATGTTCCTCCCGCCCCTCCTGCCCTCAGTGTTTGTGGCTGACAGCGTTGAGGCTAATATCAGCTACCACAAGGTGTGCGGCATCAAGTGCGTTGGGCGGAGAGGCAGGCAAAAGACACTGGGTGCAGGATGGGCGGGAGGGGGAGGAAGAAAAACTCCGACTGAATTGAGCTGAACGGCTGACACTCCCCCAGAGTGGACCCATACTTTACCCCCGGAGTCCGTGACAGAGGTACCCCCAGAGTGTCCATTTCCCAGACGTTCTCACTTGGTCGAGCTTTTTCGGGACCTTTCCAAGCGGACTGTTAACAGCAAACTTAAGAATCAAATACATTCGCTAGTATCCTACCAGAAAATTGAGATACAAAGAAACAAGAGAACTGAGAGTAAAGTAAGGTCAAATTGTTGCACACATGCCGCATAGTCTAATTCTAATGAACAATTACAGGTGGGCGTGCGGGGGTGTCAGTGACATGAGTACATGGTAATGATCATGGTGAACATCCAGAGGTCATCTGAAAACAAAAAGCTCTAGCACCTACTGAGCTTAAACACCATGAATTAGAAGTACAGATATTTGTCATGATCTTCTGCATCCCAGTCATCTGCACCCTCTACTCCTTTGTCTTCATCATAGTTTGCGTCTTCATCTTCATCTTGGTCTTGGTCCTGATCGGCGTCTTCATCTTCTTCCCCATCATCGTCACATTCCCCCCTTGCTCTGTCATCGCCATCATCACCACCATCGCCATTACCAATATCTCTTCCATCCTTATAGGGCGGAATACGGCTCTCCCAATCCCCGTTGTAGCCATTCTGGTCTTCCTCTGACATTGGGTCATCCCCAGGTCCTTTGTCCATGCAAGCCTTCATTATCTCCCGCAAGAACTTTGGATGTCCAATTCCATGGTACGTGTACCACATGAACATGTCTCTGTCCATGAATCTGAGCGGTCCATAGTTTGAGTGAGGACGACAGGATGGGATGCTGTACTTACATGCCAACATAGTAAGCTTCCCAGTCATCTAATTCGCCGCACTGACGTGCGAATGACTTTCCATGGCGAAGGGAGGTGGTTCTGCGGCCAGAAGCAAAAGCTGGGATCAGGTGCGCACCCCGGATGACCTGACCAGGGTCCAGAAAACCAAAGGCATCACAGTCAGATTCCTCGATGAATGCGACCTTTGGAAGCCGAGCACAGCTCATCCCTGATTGATGGTCGCTCAAAGGTGCCAACCATCTCACAAAAAGAACCTCAATTTGGTGTTTTTTGACTCGACCTTCAATATTAAGCCATGCATTCATGTGATAAATGCCCAGAACTCAGGCATACCAGTATGCATGTTGAGGCTTTGTTTCGCCAGATAATACCATGACATCACAGTGAGTCCAAGGATTGACAGTGTCATACTCTCGTCTAAGATCGTAAGTCGTGTAATGGACCTGTGGGTTGAATGATGGTAAGCCAGTAAATGTCACAACACGCGCCAAGTACCTGCATAGTTTGCACGGGGTATAGCCTATTATCTGAAATTATGACTGAATTCCGCTCCTCATCTGTGAATGCATGGTCACAGTAGCTGACATCTAACTTTCGAAATCAATACAGCACATGGTCCTTGAGTTTCGGTACAAATTCCTGTACCTCATGAGCAAGATGAACTATGAGAGGACGCCACCACCTACTGCCACAGCTGGATCATCCTCATGATCTCATAGGAATCTGAATATGTCCAACGGGTTGTTGCAGCTAAGTTAACGTATGTAGTGGTGATCTTGAAGTCCTGTAGGCAAGTCGACCGGTGCCCCCTGGCTAGCATATGAACTGCAGCCTTCTTCCGTGACTCGCCGAAGAACGCGACGACAATACTCATGCCTGGCAAGTTGCACCAGGGTATCTAGTTTATTGGTCAGTGGATAGAACACTTTTAGCGCCCTATGGGCCAATTCTCCCTGGCCCAAAATCAGATTGAGATGACAAGATGTAAGTGGGAGCACGTACGATTTGTGAAGTGAAGGAGTCTATGGTCCCAAAAAGTTGGATAGACTGTAAATAGTCTCCCATGGCGTGAAATTTGTAAGTATTCAAATTAAACTTCTTGGCCTTTCAGCCACCACTTCCTACACCTGAATTATTAGAACCAGAGTGTTCATGGGCAGCCTTGTGATCGTGGGCAGCCTTCTCTTTCAGTAATTCTAAGGTGGTGAAAGAAGCACAGGTAACATCCCGGAACTTGCACAATTGACTAGAGAGGTGCTTGAAGGTCTTATCCAAAGTGGACAAGGTTGTTTCTGAATGCATCCTTAGTTTGGCAAGGGCATGCCATTGGGAAAACTTGTACAAAAGTGATTGTACAACCACATCGTGGTCCTCTGGGAATAGCCCTTCAAAGACCGGAATAGCGCACTGAGATAGAAGTCAACTAAATACGTGGCAACTGAATTGAGAGGACAAACCTGCAAAATGTCTTCGAAGTCTCTCGCTGCAAGCCGTTTCATTTCCGAGGTATTATTGGTGAATTTGCGTATGACGCCATTGCCATAGGACGGAACTTGGCGAAATCTACATTTGATACCATTACTTTTAAATAGGTTGGGAGAATGCCATATAACAAACCTGTCATCAAAAGTTGCAACCAGCCGTTCGCCGCCTGGGAGTGTGTAGAGTAGACGTATGAGATGGGTGAACAGCGCTTTCCATGTGCCTAGCTCAATTTCGTGCATGAAATCAACGACGAGCATGCGAAAGGTGTCAAATCCCAGGGGTCCGAGTTTTTCCGCAAACACATTCTAGCTCAAAGTCAGGTACTGACGAAAGCAATTGATTTCAAAGGCACTCACCATGGTAGGCACCCATGACCCTTCTCCAAGTGTTGCCTGCACCTTTGAGCCATCGACGGTATGTCCTGATCCATAGATGAATCCATGAGCTCTCGTTACACTATCCAGACAGTAGGTCCTGAGGTTAGCTACACGGCCTTGTATGTCCTTAAACAGGCCCATAAGGTCAAATGAGGCTTTTGGTGTGAGACAGTGTGGACACAGACAAGAGCCCGTGTCCTTTATTGTCACTATCAAAACCCTGGAACATTGATTAGTATTTAAACAATGAGACAAAAAAAACTAGCACACTTTTCTGGATAGTTAGCAGAGTAAGTGAATATGCATGGAAATACCCTTCTTAATATGCCGTCGGGACACTGAAGTACAATCCCATGATGGTAGGCTTCAAGGAAGTCGGTATCTAGTAGATGTTTCCAACATGCATGGAACAAGTCCCGCTGACAATGCGTGTGGAGGGCCACCATACCGCTTTTTGATATCTGAGGTAAGCTGTTTATGACGTCTTTGACACTATCTGGAAGCTAGAATATAGTGTGAGAGATGTACAACGCCGAAGACTGTTAACCTACCAAAGGTAAAAATCCGACCAAATGACACGCACATACTTAGTTAAATTACCAAAATAGAGATAAACAGGCCAGGCCTTGGCTGTTCTGAAGGTCGCCAGATGAGTCACGTCAGAGAAGAACATAAGTCCAGCGATGACGTGTTCGAGTGAGCAGTTGGGTTCCTTTGGCTGCCTTTGCAGGTCATCCTGGGCTGCTAACCAGGAATCAGAAGTATAGAGCTCGTCAAATATGTGCTCTTGATGGCCGTCCAGAGGATCTCTCCACAGACGCTTGAAGGGCAGAAGGTGGAACACGTTGGCCTGGATGTCAGCAAATGCAGAATGAATCACTCCTACGAGCGGCCTATAATGAAATCCCGGAATGTTAAATGACCTAGATGGCTCGTCCTTGGACTTTGTAGGTATGTCAAGGGTAATACTTGTCTCTAACCAGTCATCCAGAAAGATGACAGTCCCCTTTCCTCCATTATTGTCCAAAGTGCGCAAGCTCTTCTTGACCAAAAACCCATCCAGGTCCCTCGGATTGAAGTCCTTTGCCTGAATCACGTCTTTAACAAGGCGTGATACTTCAGCCTCTGATTTGTGATGACTGCTGGTGTTCATCCATGCCATAAGGCGGTAGACAGTCATGTTAGGGAAGGGATGTGGTGGTGCAGGGGATGATTCAGGCTCCGAGGCATTGTCGGTTCTTGGACTCGAAGTAGCCAGTAACGAAGAAGAGATGTATTTATCAGGCTCAAATGAGGGACGCCTAGGATATTGCCAACAGAGTCCAATTGTGTTGAAAGCAGTTTGAAGAGAATCGCGCAGAGTTAAAAGGACTCTTCAAATCCTGCTGCAAGGAGCACTCTGAGTCTCAGAAGACAGACTGTTATTCCCCAAAGAATCTGAGAGGTTGATATCTTCGTCGGGGGGTAGAAGATCATGGAAATCTCTTGGGACCGGCCTGAGCTTGCGTTGCAAAGGGTGTTGACCTGTGACTGCTAGTGATTAATGAGGGCTATGATGATAGATACAGAGTGACAGGAAGGTACACACCTGGGGCGTCATGGTCTCACTCATCAGTATCCTCCATTGCAACATCCAAGATGTCAGAGTCGAAGATCAATGAGTAAGTTGCCATACTGACATGAGCAGCATTGGCGGGGTTGGTAGGCTGATGTAGGGTGCCAAACACCCTATGTTCGCACTGAGCTATAGGTTTCAAACAACTGGCATTCTTGGTAAATCGGATTGGTCTGAGCTGGTACAGGTTGGAGGGTAGTGAGTGATGTGAGTGTGTTGTAGCGACCTATGAGATTAGTGACTTACCCTACTACTAGGAGCACCACTACCGTGACTAGTTGTGAGTTGTAAGGATCTTTGCAAAGTTTGAGTGGATTCCTGTGCCTGGTTTCGCCTTCTCTCAGTAGCTAATGTGCTTTCCTTGTGGTAATGCTTGCAGATAGAACGATGCCTGCTTAGTCCACGAAAGTCTGTATCTCTCTCCCAAGAACAACACGGTGCACCACAGAACACCATTGACAGGATGAAAATGACAAACAGAATCCAAGATGATCGTGAGAGACGCATTACCAGTTGTGATCATAAGGGTAGTAGTACTACCTATTCGATTTGTATGAACAAGCTTACTATTATGTCTCCTTGTTGGGCATTGCCATATATATATATCATCATAGGACTTGCTCGTACAAAGCTATACTGTACTTGCATATGCGGCCAGTTTGCTATGAGGCCTCAAGGAAACTTGCAAGGGATAAGACACAAGCAAAACTTGAATTTTCAAGTCCAGGACAACGAGATATAAATGGTGCTGTACTTCAGGTGACATCATACAAGATAAGCGAGTTGGTAAGATAAAATAAGCTAGGAAGTCACAGAAAGATGCAGCCTCCTCAAATCACCCCTATGCCACCCACCCTACAGATTTATATTCCGGCATTAGACAACTTGCCTTTGTAACTCTCTGCGCCCATGCATCTTCCTCGTGCTTCAAGAGTAACAGGAGTTGAGTGTACTGGCGGACATGAGTCCGCGCTGCGAGGTAGCTTGAATACATGCTGTCAATGCTTAATTTGGTAAATAGGGTATCCTGCTCATTGTCTTCTATGTTGATTCCGTCAAGTGCCATCTGAAACAGACTCAGTGCTCGCTGCTAAGCAAAACCATGGGATTCTCATACCATATATGTCTGCTTCTCTCGTTTTTGCTCAGCACTTTCGATGTTTGAAATTTGAATATCGACTTCGGGGAAGTCGTTCATGCTGACGTGAAGAAAGTCTTGGGCGCTTTGTGATAATGATGGCATTGATGATGGCATTTTGATAAGTTTAAGTAGAAATGTTTCAATCAAGATCTATTTAAATATTTAAATGAGATTTTGATCAGAGCATTCAGTGTTTTGAATTTCTACTTACAATACAAATTGATACTGTAAATTACCACTACTGCTGTCCAGGGTCGTGTCCTTCTCAGCTGGGTGTTGCGTGATGTAGTAATGATGGCAGCTTGCATAAGCTTTCTGCCCTTTGTAAGGGTTCAAAAATAATACTCTGGGGGGACGAGTGAGGATGGCATTTAAATCAATCCGATTTTGGGTCCACGCAGGGCCAGAGTGTGCTGCATTTGCCAATACACAAGGGAAGACAATTTCATATAACGAATGAGTGGAAAAGGAACCAATCTCTGAAGCACTAGTAAAGTCTGGGCATGAGGAGGAATTCACTGTCAAGACTAGCAACAGTCACCTCGGTGGATTGAATGTGTATCTTCTCTGCGGGCATAAAGCAATTCATCCAAAGAAGATAACTTGCTCAAGATAAATTAATGCTGGGCATAGGTAGTGCCCTGCAACTGTGTGTCCTTCAGTGAAAATTCAATCGGAGTATCGAAACTGGCTAAGTTACCGCTCAACAAAATATGATGCTTGGAAGTTGGGATCCCATCTCAATCCAAGCATCTACCTGTGAGATGCGAGAGGTGCCTACACAGGACATCAACAGTTGGGGTAAAAAGGACAGGCTGACGGAAATGCAAACAGAAATAAGTTGCATCCAAGGTCGAAGTGTCTCCTGCGGGAACAAGTCAGCCAAGAACGGTAGAACCAACACATATTACAGTGACCTATCTCCGTATAATACGAGGGAACGGACGTGCATAATATCCCATATGATACGAGCCAGCGGACCATGGGCCCATGATAAAAATATCCTCGACTATGACGGATGGGCTGGGAGGCAAATTATTCCTGATGGAGGTGGGTGGGCCCATACAGGGAATATATAGAGTAGATGAGTGGGCCAATGTACATGAATATTAGGTAGACGGGTGGGCCGAGGTAGTTGGATATTATGCAGATGGGTGTATTAAGGTAGATGTGTATGAGATAGATGGGTAGGTACTTGTTATCACATTCACGGGTGGGCCCAGACACATATTAAATTAGACAGGTGGGCTGAGGGTGGTATAAAATATAGATGGGTGGGCCCATGTGTATCATAATTGTAGACATGATGGAGCTGAGGTAGTTGTACATCAACCAAATCAGAGGAGGTAATAAATCAAAGTTACCAAGTTCCCGGAGCAGCAGGTGATCTCCTGACATGGCCTTTGATGGTGCACAGGTTGTCTTGCAGAATTTGGAATCCGAGGTGCAAAGCTTGTGTCGCTGTATGAGAAGCCAAGTTTTGATTACCAACCTTTGGGTCAACCATACTCAGAGGAGGTAATAAATCAAAGTTACCAAGTTCCTGGAGCAGCAGGTGATCTCCTGACATGGCAGTGCGAAGCTTGTGTTGCCCTACGAGATGCCAAGTTCCGACCACCCAAATTTGGGTCAACTGTACCAACTTCTGAGTGCCGAGTGCCGAAGCCCGAGACCCGAAAATATGTACACAACATGTCCATTTTTGACTCACTGCACAAATCACCAAGTTTTGAGTGCCAAAGCATGAAACTTGAAACCCAGTGTGCAACATGTTGATTTTTCATTTATATCACACAAATCATCGAGTGCCAAGGGCCGAAGCCCGAGACCCGAGACCCGAAAATATGTATGCAACATGTCCATTTTTCACTTGTTGCACAAATCACCAAGTTTTGAGCGCTGAAACCTGAAACTCAAAACCTGGCATGCAACATGTTGATTTTTCATTTATAGTACACAGATCATCAAGTTCCGAGTGCCGAGGGCCGAAACCCAATGCCCGAGACCCGAAAATATGCACACAACATGTCCAATTTTCACTCATTGCACAAATCACTGAGTTTTGAGTGCCGAAACTCGAAACCCAGCATGCAACATGTCCATTTTTCATTTACATTACACAAATCATCGAGTTCCAAGTTCCAAGTGCCGAGACCCGAAGCCCTAGACCCGAAAATATGTATGCAACATTTCCATTTTTCACTCACTGCACAAATCACTGAGTTTCAAGTGCCAAAGCATGAAACTTAAAACCCAGTGTGCAACATGTTGATTTTCATTCATATCGCACAAATAACCAAGTGCCAATTTGTCCAGTTCCACATATCGAGTCCCGAGTTTCGGGACCCCCGAACCCCGAAACCCGGCAGTCCACAATTTTGGGGTTCGGGGGTTGGTAAATTGTTTATGGATATCCAAAAGGTTGATTCAAACATTTTTGAAAAATGTCATCTCAAATGTCAAGTCCTGAGCTCTGGGTTTCGGGACTCAGCACCCAGCACCCGGCACTCGGGGTTCGGGGGTCAAAAAATGTGTATGGATATATGAGTATTTCCTGCGTTCCAGGTTTCGGGACTATTTTTCAAAAATGTTTGAATAAACCTTTGTATATTCATAAACATTTTGCCAACCCCTGAACCCCGAAATTGTGGACTGCCGGGTTTCGGGGTTCGGGGGTCCCAGAACTCGGGACTTGATATGTGGGACTGGACAAGAATATCTTTGTTTTAAGTGTTGTGTTGAATATCGAGTTCCAGGCTTCGGCACTTGGGACTCAGTAATTCAAATGTTTGCTACTCGCAGAGGTAACAGGCCGAACCCCAAACCCTGAGACCCGAAAATATGTATGCAACATTTCCATTTTTCACTTGTTGCACAAATTACCGAGTTTTGAGTGCTGAAACTCAAAACTCAAAACCCAGTGTGCAACATGTTCATTGTTCATTTACATTACACAGATCATCAAGTTCCGAGTGCCGAGGGCTGAGACCCGAAGCCCGAGACTCGAAAATATGTATGCAACATTTCCATTTTTCACTTGTTGCACAAATCACCAAATTTCAAGTGCTGAAACCCGAAACTCAAAACCGGGTGTGCAACATGTCCATTGTTCAATTATATTACACAAGTCATTGAGTTCTGAGTTCCGAGGGCCAAAACCCGAACCCCGAAAATATGTGCACAACATGTCCATTTTTCACTCACTGTACAAATCACCGAGTTTTGAGTGCTGAAACCCGAAACTCGAAACCTGGCATGCAACATGTTGATTTTTCATTTACATTACTCAAATCATCGAGTTCCGAGTGCCAAGGGCCGAGACCCAAAGCCCAAAACCCAAAATCATGTACACAACATGTCCATTTTTCACTCATTTCACAAATCACCAAGTGTCGAGTGTCAAAACCTGAAACCCGGTACTTCAAATGAACACAAATTGTATTTGTATGTATTATCCATTGGTGTAGGGCTCAAATAACCTGGGAATTGTATTTGTCAGTACTCGGTACTTGGGACTTGGTACTCGGCACTCAGTGATCGGTGGTCAGTGGTTGGTACTCGGGACTTGGGACTTGGGACTCGGGACTCGGGACTCGGGACTCGGGACTCGGGACTCGGGACTCGGGACTCGGGACTCGGGACTCGGGACTCGGGACTCGGGACTCGGGACTCGGGACTCGGGACTCGGGACTCGGGACTCGGCACTCAGTACTCGGCACTCGGTGATCGGTGGTTGGTACTTGAGACTCGGTAGTTTTTCCCTGATACCCACCAAAAAACCCACACCCACAAGGTGGGTGTGGGTATATCATGGGGTATGGGTGGGGGTAGTGCTACTCATACCCTGGGGTTCACCCACGCTATTCCCTATCAGTACTCAGTACTCGGCACTCGGTGATCAGTGGTCAGTGGTTGGTACTCGAGACTCGGTAGTCAATATAGGCGAATAATAATGAAAAATGACAGTTGTAGTCCACGTCAAGGTGAGTGACTTGGTAGTCTTTCCTTGTCATTCAGCAAAACATCAGCAATAATGAAAAAATGAAAGTTGTTATTATGCTTAACTTCCTTACCAAAGGTTGTAGTCCAAGTCCAGGTGAGTGTAGTGGTAGTCTTTTCTTGTCAATTGGTTATCTTGTTACTCATTACGCAGTACTCAGTACATGGTAATTGGTACTCAGTATTTGGTTTTGATACTCGGTATCTGGGAATCAGTAGTCAGCTTAATGAAGGTTGTAGTCTGAGTCTAGATGAGTTTATTTGTAGTCTTTTCTCGTCCATTGGTTACCATGTGACTGAGATATAAGCTAAAGAAATCCAAAACATCAATAATGACAAATGAAATACATGTGTGCAGTAAGTGAGTGTAAAGATAAAAGAATGAATATTAATAGCGAGACTTGCACATTATGTCGAGATATCCAACATAACAAGCCTGTGATGTGATCAGAGACCTGGAATAACACCCATATACATCCATTATAATAGCTTAAAAGCTTAGAAATATTCATGAAGGATTGATGTAATGATAGGCAAAATGACATATGTGTGGAGAGTGACAATAGACATCTTTTATACAAAGTCACATTTATATATGATTCAGGCCAAAAATATCATTACAAATATGTAGGATAGATCGTAAACTACCCAAGGAACCCATACTGCCTACTGCCCTGAGGGTAGGGGGTGGGTAGAAGGGATATAGTGAAAATATGAGTTGACCCAGCATTAAAGTCCTACCACTGCTCAACTAACCATTTTCGATGCTTTGGGTCTTTGAAGTTTCCCACACTCAATTTCTTACCCATTTCACTTCCTCAGTACTCAATTCTTGGTTGATTTGTCTGTAAATTTATGTCTATGATACTTAAGATATTTGAAATGTACCCCAGGTTTCTGATTATGAAGATTCAATGTTTTGAAGGCATGGGCCCCTTATCAGGCGAAATGACAAGTATACACACTAGCTCACAAACTCCAGCCTATTGTGAGCTGATCTTGGTCATAAGAAGCAAGAATATAAGCTATGCTCATTATATATTAAAAGGTTGGATCATGGATGCAAGGGCAAGATACTGAAAATTGTATATTGACTACCGACCACCAACTACCAA